AGGTGGCCTGACTGCAGAGTAGAGTTTCCTATCAAGGAGTGATTGCAAAATATCCATTTACTTTGAATTCATGTCTTCACTCATTTTGCAAGAAATTTCTCACAGCATTTAGAATCCTAGCATAATTTATGCTGGACAGGACTTAAGGAGGGCATTTGATCTAATCTAACTCAAAGCATTTGTCACAGTGGACCAAACATGTAGGTCCCTTCCAACTGGTCTGGTCTGATCCTATCCTATCCTATCCTATCCTATCCTATCCTATCCTATCCTAATTCCACAATTAGACTCCAGCAGAAGGCTCCTGCTTAAGCTAGTCCATAAATACGACCTATTTTTTCCTAAAAACAGAGATCAGAATAATGAGGTATCCTATAACTTATGAACAGCAAAATCAGTTATTAAATCGTAAAGTGAACAAGACAAGATGATGTGCGTTCATTATTTCTGATGATGTCTTTGACCTGACTCACATCAGGCTACTCCACAAATGAATCTCAGCAGAATCCATGGGTCAGCTTCAGAGAGGTTCAGATCTGCGTTCAGTCTCTCTGTGCCTCTGGAAACCAGCAACACCCTTTTCCAAGACGCTTTGGCACTTCTGCTACTAATCATTTTTGCTGAAATCCCTTTCCATCATTGGAATCAGCACCAGAGCACTACCGCATATCTTTGGATAGAATTTCCATGTGGAAACAGTACCTCCATATACCAGGAGCTCAGAGTTTCATCACATCTGAGTGGCTAGAAACTAGCTGTGGAGTTGTATCAAGTCTGTTAGAGGAGAGGGAAGACTCTGTGGAGTAAGGATATGGAGTTCTTGTGACCCTCTCCTGCAAAAACGGGGAGGATTTCTGTGGGGAAGGTGGAGCCCACAACAGATACAACCTACCGACTGAGGTGTTCATGCCCATCCCTCTGTCGCTGTTCTCTGGGGACCTGGGCACACAGCACCACTCACATTTGACAGGTCCAAGCCAAATTCTTGTATGCTGAGCTCCCATATGTTTCAATGGGAACATCCCATAGGAGGGGATATACATTAGGTATGACAAAACAAGCAGAGGAAAACTGATTGCATACAAATGCATATAAAAAAATACCACTCTTTCAGTGTTTTCTTCCGTACATAGTAATGTCGAGGGGCTTTATTAACAAAAGCTGCTTAAGCAGAAGCTTGAATTTGAATGGGGTTCATTGGATTTCTGCACCTCACTGCTTCCTGGCTGACTGCTCAGTGTCTGCCAGAGGAGGCATGATGTGATGCTCTGCTTGTCCCCAAAGCTGTCAGTCAAGGCAGAGCCTGGGCTGTGAAACAGTTAGCCCCTGAATAAATATTAGCAGGATAGTCCGGACCGTGACCACGTCCCTCCTACTCTCGCCTTTGCCCGCCTACACACACGCTGCTGCTGCTGCTGCTGTAACGCTGCCGAGGGAGCTGAGGAGCTTCTCCCCCATCTACGCACACCTATCGAGACATTGTGCTTTCGATGAGTGACCCTTCCCTGGCTGCAGCTTGTGTATGCTGCTGGAGTCAGGTGACATTTTTAACAATAAACCCACTGAACTGCAATTCGGAGAGAATTTACTTGAAAATTTACATAATGTAGCTAGAGGAGACTTTTAACTGCTTCCCCTTGTGCATAGGGGAGGAAAAAAAAAAGAGGAAAATTAAGTAACAGCCTAATTGGCTTTTATAACAGTCTACGGGGAGAAAGGCAGGCGGGTTCTCTGCCTAGCTACAAAGCTTGGTATGTGCTGTAACCATGGGAGGCAATATTACAGGCATGACAGGACAATGATTTGGTTTTTCAGCCCTGAAGATCTGAAAAATGAAATACCTCCAGCCGGGGGGGTGGGGGGGTGGTTTTCCGCTTGAGGAAGACCTGTCAGGCTAGTTCAGAGGACTGCAGGTCGGGCTTCTCTTGAAGGGGAAAACGGAGGATCCGATCTGCCGGCGCACCACCTCAGACATGGATCACGGCCGTCGGGATGAACGGGATCTGTCTCTTCCACCGCCACATTCATTTTAATCAGGGAGTGGCTTGTAATGAACTGGGTAACAGAGAGGATGAGGAGGCCAGGGCTGATGAGCCTACTGCTTTCTGCTCCCACCGCTCCCCGGGGTGCAAAGCCCAGGCGCCTGCTCCCCTCCTCCAGAGCCCAAGGAAGGCGGCACAGCAACGGACTCGTGTTGGTTCAGTTCCCATTGCCTCGAAATTGCTGCATTTCGAGATAGTACCAATAACGGAGAGCTGCAAGGCAGATATTGACAGTTCATTTTTTATTGAATTTTGTCTTTCAGAAACACACTAGTGAATCAATGTCAATTACATTAAAACATGCAAGTTCCAGGACTAATCACTTTCTCTCACCCTCCTTCATTTCCCATATACTTCAGGGAGAACTCCATTGATTACCTGTCCTCCTCAGCAGCAAACACTGCCTGAGACCAAGGCCAGGAATGAGAGGGAAATGCCTCTCTTCCACTGTTGAGCTGGAGAAAGTGGCGGAGAGCCCCAGGAGCAACAGCATCGCCTGCCATCACTTTCCAGCCCTAACTGGACTCTCAAATTGGGTGTCTCCTCTCCAAAGGTTCCCTAACATGTTCCAATTCCCTCCTAAACCATGGCTACATGACTGGTATAAGGTGCCACAGGGGTAAGCTAGAAGAGGTTTGGAAATATCTTTCTCTGATCTTCACTTCCCAAAATAGCTGAATATGGAAAATGGTGTCCTTCTGCCTACAGCGCAGACGTTGCCCTCCACCAGCACCGAGAGCCCTGGCGAAGCCCTCTCCTCCATGCCCAGCAGCCCCACTCCCCTACCATCCTGAATCATGGTCCTGAGGACTCACAGGCATCAAATCTCCAGGATTTTTATGGAGGTACTCTGGCTTCACTCCACTGTGTCTTATTAGATAGGACAAAGCCATTAATCAACCGTGTGACCCCCTCTCCTCTGCCACTGCGGACAGCGAATGCCATCATCTAGGAGCCTTGCTGCTATCTGTCTTTCCATGCACCGTTTAGTGGACCTGAGCAGAAGATTTGATTACAGCCATGGTACCAATCACACGCTGTGCTGGATGTCCTCAGCAGCCATCAAACTCACCGTCTTAGACGTGAGGTTGGTTCAATAAGAAGGGTGTGTATACACAAGACTGATCACACAACACTATTTTAGCTTTTGTTTTAAAACTATGCTAGAAGAATTAGACTAAAAAGAAAGTTATTTTGTATTAAGCACCATTATTGGCTTCATTATCCAATGGAATCAAAGCAGCAACTTCCACATCATTCAGTAATGATGAACTAATTCCAAATCATAAATGGAGCTATTGGAAAAAAAGCAGACAACAGCAAACGGACTTGTGTTTAGGTCTACCTTGTAAGGACAGGAGGCCAAACTAAAACACAAGGCCTATTATGGGTGTATTTATAGGCCAAGTCAAAGCAGCTGTGACTGCAAAACACACCGCGTAAACAAGGAGCCCCTTAGACAGCACGTCGCCTTCGCAATTACTCGATCGATACAACTAAGGGCATTGCCTGTGACATGCATTTAGGAGAGCAAAAGCACTATTGCATGCAAAGGCTAGATGACTTCTCCTTAAAAACAACCTGTAACAGCTGCAAGCAGACACCTCAACAGGATTTTGTTGTATTTATGGCTGCAGGGATCGTTTGATTTTTAAGCAGGTCTCTTCGCCTCTCAGTAAGAAGCGATTGAGACCTCTACCTGCAAATGCTGCATCGGTATTTAAGTGGATGCTTTACTCAATTGCTTTTATAAGGTGCAATTATTTAGGTGGAACGCATGGATTAGACACAGAACCCACTCAAAACATGGGGAGGGGGATGAAAGGGCAGCAGCCACCCTGCAAGGGGAGGACATTCTGGTCCCCAGTATCCTCTAGCCAGTTGGAATGGGTTAAGTCAGCCTGCTGTAGGTATTTGTCTTGAACTGGCAGGCTAAAGTATATTTTTTATAGTTAAACTGTAATTTTCAAAGACCCTTTTTTTCCCCAATATCATACAATCATAGAATGGTTTGGATTGGAAGGGACCTTAAAGAACATCTAGTTTCAAGCCTCCTGCCATGGGTAGGGACACCTTCCACTAGATCAGGTTGCTCAAAGCCTCATGCAACCTGGCCTTCAACACTTCCAGAAATGGAGCATCCACAACTTCTCAGCATTGCAAGAGAGGAGTCCAGGCAAGTGTTTGTCACTCAGGAGCTGCCATTTTCTTCATGTATGCTCTGCTGTTGGGAGATAAGCGTGGAAGTAGTTTCCCACCTCAGACTTTTTGATTAGGAAGGAATGAAACTATTTTACTCCTTGTTTTTCAGCCAATCTATTAATTCTTTGCCAATCTCACACCACCATAAGGTGCTGCACCCTGTGTACAGACTCACAGCGGGCGTTGCTGGGGGTTTGCACTGAGATGGGTGACTTCTGCTCTGCTGTTGTGTGTGTCCCACTTAATCGTGGCCCTGTTTTTCTTGAGCTGCAGGTGTTGCTTTCTTCCAGCGCTCCTTAGCACTGCTTTTCACTAAGGCCTGTGGAAGTTGCTCATCTTTGATAGCCCATAAACGAGCGTTAGTTCTGGTTCTGAGGGTTTCCAAGAGGCAAACCACCAAACCTTTCAGCAGTAGCCAGGGATGAGGAAAGAGCCCCAGCAGACCAGCAGTTATCCCAAGCCAGAATAAAGAGCTGGGAGACTGGATGGTACCTTGGGTTGTAGGTGCCCATTTTCATTCAGAGGCTTCCCAAGTGATGTGCTGGAGCTGCTCTCCTCAGGTAGCACACTGAATGGGAAGTAGATGCAAAGTCCTGCACTCACCCGGCTCTTATGTCCCTGAGCTGCCCTCCTGTGCTCGGTCTGTACCCATAGAAACTTTGGGAGAATTGAGGTGATGATGGAAAGCATCAAAAGTCAAAGCTGAAATGGTGTTTAAAAATAATATGAATTATCTTTCTAGATCTAATTGAAGACATGGGCTCTCTGACTATGAAAGCTGAAGCAACTGTTGCTACAGACTGGAAAAAAAAATTTACTCCAGAACAATTCTATGTTACAAGAGAAAAAGGAACTGAACTGGTAAGCAAAAGCACTAAAGCTGTCCAAGGATAAACCATCTCCTCTGCAAGCTGGGCAGAGAAAAACCTGCTTTGGGCAGCTCTCTTCACTCAGTTGCCTCGCAGGTTTTCCCCTGCCTTCCTGTGGACGAAAGTTAGACTCGGCATACTGAACCAGGTGGATTTTGTTCTGACCCAGGCTGGTTTGCAGATGAACAAATGTTCTGCATTCTTTTCATATTTTTTTTTTTTCTGGGATACTTTACTGCCAGCTCAGCCATCTGTGTGGCAGCGGTGGGGGCCTTTCCAGAGAGGAAGAAGATGATCATATTTTTGTCCTGTAGTCTCTTTTTTTTTTGACCATATGTAGATTAGGCCATGCAATATTCAGGATTAGGTTATTCCTTGTGTGACAGGTCACCCACTCATCTTGTCCCTGCACATTGCTTCCTTCTCTGATGAAGGCCATGCAGCATCGCAGGTGGAGCACCAGCATCCCTAGCCTGGAGCCAGGGCTTCTGCGTGTGCGGAGCATGCACCGTGGGATTAAAACATGTGAATCGTGCCCAAATCCTTACCTGTAAAACAAGGATCCCAATTCCAGACCATGCAGGGAGGAGGAAAGTTCTTCTGTAGAGCCACTTTGAAGTTGTGGCACTCCATAGCAAAGCCCTGGTCTTTGGGATCCTGCGCATGTTACAAGTTCCTCGGAGGTCAAGACTCCAGCCCTGGTACCTGGATGATTTATGCATCTGACTGGTCTCAAAGTTTCTGGGGGCAGGGGGTAGTCTTCGCTATTAATCCAAAGGCATCCTCCCCTTCATTTCTTTAGGCTACTAATGTTTGTTCTTCAAAGGCCCCCTGTGAAGCCTTCTTTTTATGGTTTTTCTCCTGTTTTGAATCTGATTCCTACATGCTTGTTCCAGATGGTGAGCTTTTAAAGACCTGCATTATTAACTTCTCTTTTTTCTTCCTTTTTCAAAAGCCATTTAGTGGGACCTATCTGAGTAAGACAGAATGGGTAATATACTACCTCATGTGCTGCAACGTCCTGCTGTTCAGGTAATATCCTTTAGATTTCACAGCATCCTTAAAACGCCGTAAGGGTGGCAGGAGGAGCAGTGTCTTTTCATGAGAGGAATAGAAAGTGTAGGTCAGAAGAACAATACTTTGGTGCCAAAGTGCTATGCATAAGGTTTCCAGGATGCCTGTGGTCATACAGGTACACGGTGTGCCCTTGTCTTGAGCATATAAGGGTCTCCAGTGGCCAGCAGACCATGGTTGCAACACCAGGGTCTGCCTTTTTGTCCTGCGGCACATACTGTCCTTTTTGGTTGAGAATAATTCTGTTAAGAGGTCTCTAAGCCACGAGTTGCCACGAAGTACCTGTGTTTATGTATGAGTATCACTGTATGTTTGCTCTGTTCTGTGCTTTTCCATAGCCACCTTCTGCCACTCATGCTACTGGGTGAGGGAGACCTTTGGTCTGCCTTAGTCTAGCTGTTGTTATGTTCTTACTGCTGGGAGACAAGACCTCCTCTTCACCCCTGCCCCCTTCTTGTTCCCTAAATTAAATTCCACTATTTTTGCCTTTTTGGTAGCATCTATTTTTTCAAACCTGGCTGTTAACCTCTGTGCTCTTTACAATACTATATACTTTGCAACTTCATTAAGTCTAAGAAAAAGGAAATAGAGTGCCTGGGAGTAGGATGTGCAGAGGGTGTTCTGTTCTCTGTAGCTCAACCAGAAAAGACAGTTCCTCGTATTTTTGGATCTAGAAAACAGCCTTTATATACTCCCAATGGCGAGTTCAATTGAATGCAGCTGATATGCCCATTTTTACAAATGCTTTAAAGGATGCATCACGGATCAGAACTTCAAACAGGAAGATAAGGAACAAGAGGTCTGGATAGCAAGAAGCGGGGAAAAATGTAATGGCTGTATTAAAAATAAATCTAAATTAAGCAATTAAATGGTAAAATTGGAGGCTGATAATTGTGAACAGTTAGTTTTTCTTTGGCCAAGTACAGAAAACTATTGTTATGAAAATGAACATTTGCTTAAATGTATGGTTTTCTATAGAGGTTTGCTAATAAATGCATTTAAATAAAATTGTATCAGAAGCTAGTGCAGCACTGCAGAATATTCTGAAGACAAATAAAAAACCTAAAAATATCTCTGGAAAATTCAGATAAATTAAAGCAATTTAAAATTACTAAGCTGTGAAAGACTTCCTTCAGTTCCTTCAAATGTTCCTTCAATTTGGGCACCTTTTATACTAGACAATGGATATTGACAGGCCAACATGAAGAGAGATGAGCAATGGAGGGAATTGCTTCTGCTGCTAAACTAATAAAAAAACAACAATATGACCAAACAGTCATGCTGCTTTTTGCAGTATCCAGCTCTCAGAGAATATAGGTATTTCTGTTTAAAGCATAAAATAATGCTGAGCCTTACAGACTGATACAAGAAAATAATAATAATAAATAAATAAAAAAAACTTACAGAAAAAAAATTTTAGGAAAATTGAGAATTATTAAACATGTAAAATGGTCTGGAAATATTTTTTCCATGAACACATTACCTTGTGGAGGACGCTAACATTCAGGTAAAAAAAATTGTATTTCAAAAGAAATTCACTCATCATGTTTATTTCCTAATGCGTTAAAAATGTTCTTTCTTTTTCAAATGCATTAGATCATTAGCTGCAGGTAAACATCAAGCATTTCCTCCTTTCTTTCAAAGTATACTTGTGTGTATACATTTATACCAGGATTTATTACCTTCTGCTACCAAATATTCATTTGAAAGAGTTGGAAATACATGGAACAAACCCCTAGCCTTTATAGATAGCAAATTGTGGTGCTTTAATGAAATCTCAAACCTTCAGCGAACCATAAACCTACAGCTGAGATTCATACAGCAAAAAGCACTTTTTAGAATTATCTGGATTCCATCCAGGACGACTGAAATAGGGATCAAAGTAAATGACATGTGCTGGAGGAATGGTGTGTCGAAGGCTAATCTAATGCATATGTTTAGGGGAAGTCCATTTATCCATAAATTAAGTGGTGAAATACTTCAAAGTACAAATATGATCTCAAACAGCAATATTTTGGGGTACTAAAATGTTTCTATTAGGGAATCTAAGTGACATTACTGTTAGTAAAACCACACAGAGACCATCTCTGTTGAGAGCTACTTTAACAGCTCAAAAGACTGACCCTTTAGCAGTGGAAAACATCTATAATAAACTCAAGCGTTGTGAGCAGCATGTAAGGGACGGAAGTCAAGGACAGATGCAAAACTCACCAAGCGTTAAAGACCTTCCTTGACTCGACAAGGTTTCAGAGAGGGTCCTCGTATCTCTGTATGAACAAGCAGAAGGATCCCTGTGTCAGAAAATGAAGAGTCCTCACCAAAATGTCATGAAAATAAAACAGAAACAGCACAGGTATGCATCAGGGAAACGCAGAAGTCATGTACAGACATTTGAGTTCCCCCAGGTTATTCTTTGGGACTCCGTGGCTGGCAGGCACAGTGTTCGTGTGGTTTTGTAGCTGGCAAGGCAGGGAGCCTTCTTTGGCTGGAAAGAAACAGGCCTGGAGCCCTAAATACCTTCTCAAGCAGAAGCAGAGTCTGCAAACCGCATTTGCTTCGGCGCAGCCTGCCTCGGGACTGTCTCCGATTTCTCCTCAGTTTTATGCAGGGGAGGAGGTGCGAGAACATTTCTCACATGTCTTCGTGGATTGACTGGGCTGAGCAACAGCTCACACAAAAATCAGCCTTTGGTCATTCTATGTTTGCAAATCCTCTTCTATTTCCACGGTAGTATTGCTCAAAGACAGCCCTGTACAGTTAATTATAAAACCGTTCTTGGGGTTGAATTTTTTTCAGCTTTTTGCCCTGCACATTTGTCTTGTCTTTCTGAAAGGCACTATAAGTAAGATTTTTGGGTTTTTCTTCATTGTATTAATATCTCACCAAAACATACACGATATATAATAGATATTTTACATTAAATTCTAAACTGACTGATAGACTAAACCCTTCGATCACTGAAAAGCTGCTGCTGGTGTTGGTGTCTCCATCCACCACTAGATGCCAGTAAGAGCATGAGGTTCCTCTAACTGGGATCAACACGGGAAACCGGGAGGAGACAGTTGTGGGTCTCCAGACTGCTTATCCTGGTAGTATGTCAGTCTGTCCTCATTTCTCTCTCGAAGTCCCACTAGGTCACTCTTTGCTAGAAGAAAGTACTTATTGCTATCAAAACTTGCACAACTTTAAATAGGAGGGATTATCTCATTTTTGTATGCTAAATCCCCAAAATATTTTCTGATCATATTTTCCAATACGCTCAAGGTTTTAATGTGCACCCAAACAGGGCTGGTAATCCTGGATGCTAACGGGAGACACCTCCAAGCTAACAGTCTGTAATACTGTTTCTGATGGCTGTGATTATCTCTTGGGAAAAGTGAGGATTTGTCAGTGGTTGATTGATGGTTTGAGCAAGGCCCTGTTTGATTTACCAAACCGTTCTGGTGGCTGACTACAGGCCGAAGCCGTGATCAGACACGAGCATGGTCCGATGGGCCAACCCAGCTATTTTCCTTACTCATTTTCCATGAACTCTCTTCTCTGAGGTTGCGCTGTATTGGGCAAGGCTCTGAGCTGCAATGTTGCAGGTGTAATTCATCTAAACAATGTGCTCAGCTGTTGGAAAAACCTTTTTTCGAGCTTTATAAAACACCAAGCTATCAGTGAAACAGAAACAGTGAGGGAAAAGCTCCTGTTGTGAGGAAATCGAGAATCCCCTTTGGTAAAGAGCTTCCAGCAGTTTGATACTAGTCAGAAAACTTCTACTATGCCAAATACTATTAATAGTAGTACAAGACAAGGATGAGGAAAAAAGCTGATGTTTTTATTAAACATAGACCTTTTTGTAACATCTCTCTTATTAATTAAGACGAAGATCTTGCTTCCACTGTAGCTCAGAAAAGAAGTACAACTCTGGAACTAGATGGCCATCGTTTTCTGAGACTTGTGATACTTGTGGCAGAGATGAAGGTAATACTGGTATCATGAGACGACCAGATAACTCGTTGTGATCAACTAGAATTGAAGTTGTCTGCAAACAGATATGTTTATTTTGGAGGTGATACCCAAAGACCCAAATCTTCACAAATAAGTCTTCTTTGAGCCCATGCATAAATATACCTAAATCTAGCAGTGAGAATTAAAGTATCACTGAAATCACTCTACCTCACTTCTTGGTATGAAACACATGAGTAGATGTCTAAATATCTAATATGGACAGTTTGGGTGAAGAAAATTATGTGACTGGGGAGAGTAGTTGTGTAAGTATAGCCAAGGGCTGAAGTTTAGGCAGAAAATTTATTCAGAGGAACTCAGGCGAACTGCAGTATGTGACAACAGACAGTAGAAGGGACATTTAGTCCACCCATTTACCTCATCACAAGGTCAGTGTTTCCTAATTCAGTCCTGCTAAATGTTTGCTTAAGCTGTCCTTAAAATATGCAGTGATGGAGGCTCCACAGCCTTGCTAGGTAATGAGCTGTAACCTTCACGTCTTCCTACTGTTGGTTAGACACTGGGGAAAACACCAAGTTTCCTCTACAGCAGTTGAAGATCACTACTATTTTCCCTCCACAGCGGTGGTGGTGCCCTGCATCTTCACAGCTGTCTTCTATGCGTTCTCTCATTGCACAGAAGCCACCCTTCCATGGTAGCTACTCCTGTCCTGGTGGTGTTCCTGTCCTTACACCTTTACCTTTCCCGAATCCATGACCCATACTTGTATTGAGACCTGCTCTAGCACCCAGGTCCCTTTCTAAAGAACCGCCACCGCTAAGCATTTCTTCCCAACCCTGAGACTGTTCTGTTTATCACATCTGTTAAGACATAAAAGTGTGCAATTGAGTTTAATGAACTGCAGCCCCTTCTAGCAGGATTAGGTATTATCTGCAAACACAACAAGCGTTTGTTGCATGCAGTCCATTATCGTGGTACAGTTCATGTTTGCAGTAATATCCAGCAAACACTTTTCAAGAACCCAGCTGAAGACAACCTTCTAATTTTACAATGAACCACTGATAGCTATTCTGAGTCTTCTTTCTACCAGTAATTTGGAGGGGGAGGGAAGGAGGGAATCCTCAGTTTACCTGTAAAAAGCAACTACAGTGACTGTCTCAATTAACTTGAAACTTTCATTATGTATGGAGAATTCTAGATCATTCTCTCATTTATTTCCCATACTTTCTGGCATTAATATCTTTTGACTTCCTTTTCTGGGACCTGCTTGTCTGGGGGCAGATATTCACCCCCTGGCCAGAGGCAATTACTCCAGGATGTATTTCTAGTCTCTCCCCAAGACCCCCCCACCCACCCAACTCAACAGTGAATTCATCATACCAGTTTCTTCATTCAGGATAGCACAGTAAGTATCAGCATAATGTTGGTCCAAAACTGTAATGGTAATAAT